AATTCCCAAGTGTCAAGGGAGAGACTAGGTGGAGGTAACTGGATTATGGGTGATTACCCCATCTGTTCTTGTGATAGTGCATTCTCACGAGATCTGATAGTTTTATAAGGGTCTCTTCCCACTTTGCTCAATATTTCTCTTTCCTGCCACCTTGTAAAGAAGATGCCTTACTTCCCCTTCACTTTCCACCATGATTGTAAGTTTCCTGAGGCCTCCTCAGCCAAGCTGAACTGTGAGTCAGTGAAACCTCTTTCCTTTATAAATTATCCAGTCTTGGGAAGTTCTTTATAGCAGAATGAAAATGGACTAATTCAAAGTATAAAGTGAAACAGCAAGTGCTGATGTAGAAGCTGCAACAGGTTATGCAGAAAATCTAGCTAAGATAATTGACGAAAGTGACTATACTAAACAACAGATTTTCAGTGTAAATACCTTCTTTTGGAAGAAGATGCCATCTAGGACTTTCATAGCTAGAGAAGAGACGTCAATGCCTGGCTGCAAATCTTTAAAGGACAGACTGACTCTTGTTACAGGATAAAGCAACTGGTGACTTTAAGTTGAGGCCATTGCTTACTTACCATTCTGAAAATTCTACAGCCCTTAAGAATTATGCTGAATCTATTTTGCCTTCACTCTCGATGGAACAACAAATCCTAGATGACAGCACATCTGTTTAGAGCATGGTTTACTGAATATTTTAGGTCCCCTATTAAGACTCTGTTGAGACCAGAGAAAAAGATTTATTTCATAATATTACTGCTTATTAATAATGTACCTAGCCACCCAAGAGGCCTGATTGAGATTTACAAGGAGATTAATATTGCTTTATTGCCTGCTAATACAATATCTATTCTGCAGCTCATGGATCAAGGAATAATTTCAAACTTCAATTCTTATTATTTAAGAAGTATATTTCATAAGGCTAGACCTGCTTCAGTGATACCTCGTAGATCTGGTAAAGTAAACTGAAAACCTTCTGGAAAGGATTCACCATTCTAGTTGCCATTAAGAACATTTGTGGTTCATGGAAGGAGGTTAAAATGTCAACTTATTATGATAGGAATTTGGAAGAAACTAATTCCAAGCCTCATGGATGACTTCAAACTTTAGTGGAGAAAGTACCTGAAGATGTGTTGGAAATAGCAAGAGAACTAGAATTAGAAGTGAGACCCAAAGATGTGACTGAATTGCTGCAATATTACAATAAAACTTGAATGGATGAGGAGTTGCTTCTTGCTGATAAGCAAACAAACAAACAAAAAAAGGTTTCCTGGATGGAATCTAGTGCTGGCAAATATTCTCTGAATATTGTTGAAATGACAGCAAAGGATTTAAAATATTACAAAACTTTGTTGATAAAGCAATGGCAGGGTTTGAGAGTACTGACTCCAAATTTGCAAGAAGTTCTGTGGGTAAAATGCTATAAAATACCATCACATGCTATAGAGAAATCTTTCATGAAAGGCAAAGTCAATTGATGTGGCCAACTTCATTGTTGTCTTATTTTAAGAAATTACTGCAGCGACCTAAACCTTCAGCAACCATCACTCTTCCTTTTTTTTTTTTTTTTCCTGTCACCAAGGTGGGAGTGCAGTGGCACCACCATAGCTCACTGTAACCTCTGACTCCCTGGCTCAAGGGATCCTCTTGCCTAAGCCCCTGAGTAGTTGAAACTACAGAAAAACACCACTATGCCCAACTAATGTTTTTGAACTTTAGTAGAGATGAGGTCTTACTATGTTACCCAGGCAGTCTCAAGCTCTTGAGCTCAAGTGATCCTCCTGCCTCAGCCTCCCAAAGTGCTGGGATTGCAGGCATAAGCCACTACACCCGGCCTGTCAGCCACCACCCTGATCAGTCAATAGCCATTAATACCAAGGCAAGACCCTCTATAAGCAAAAACATTATAACTTACTAGAAGCTCATATGATCATTAGCATTTTAGCAATAAAGTATTTTTAAATTAAGATTTATATATTTTTAGACATATTATTATTATAACTTAACAGACTATACTGTAAACAGAACTCTTTAGAAACCAAAACATTTGTATCATTCCCTTTATTTTGATACTCACTTTATTGCAGTGTAAAACTGAACCTACGATATCTCTGAGGTATGCCTATAAGTAATTATATAAAATTTTATACTGGTTTTGAGTCATTTTATGTAGGTAAATTTGATTATCTTAATTAAATTGCAATACCTTTAAAGTCAAAGACTGAGTCTTCTTTGAACTTTTTATTTTCATAACAGTGAACTATGGGCATGGCTCAATCCATTGACCCGTTTTGGTTCCTGATAGAGTTTTGTTAAAGGAGAAAAATAAGGACAGTGAAGTAAGTTTTTGATAAAAGTAAATTTATTTGGTTTATAAAACAGTTTAATATTATGTCCTTCCTATTTTTTTATGTCAAATTACCATCTCTTTTTCTAGACGATTATAATAGATAAAATTTTTTTTTTTTTTTTTTTGAAACGGAGCTTCGCTCTTGTTACCCAGGCTGGAGTGCAATGGCGCAATCTCGGCTCACCGCAACCTCCGCCTCCTGGGTTCAGGCAATTCTCCTGCCTCAGCCTCCTGAGTACCTGGGATTACAGGCACGCGCCACCATGCCCAGCTAATTTTTTGTATTTTTAGTAGAGACAGGGTTTCACCATGTTGACCAGGATTGTCTCAATCTCTTGACCTCGTGATCCACCCGCCTCGGCCTCCCAAAGTGCTGGGATTACAGGCTTGAGCCAGCGTGCCCGGCCAATAGATGAAAAATTTTTAAATGTTTCTATTTGTCAAAGTACAACATTGTCAGTCCTGTGTCAATGTCTAACTTTTCCTTATGCTCATCTAAATAATCTCAAAGTTGGAGCTTATTAAATACTTATTGTGTCACACAGACTATAGTGTCACACAAAAAGTATTTAATGACTTTCTTGATAACTAATTGGTGTTGCATGGCTCATTTATTCCACAAGTTTTAGTTGACTATCAACTCAATTTAAGTTGCTATAAATATTATTTGTATTGAAAACATACTGGTAAACACTGATATGGGGAGGGGTTATTTTTATTCTGTTTTAGAGTGGCATAATTTCTATGGTAAAGTGACTAATCTGAACTAATATGTAAAAGATTAAGAATCACTTGAGAATCATTTTCAAAGAATAACTTTATAGTGTACTGCTGACGTGTAAAAATTATGCGTGATGCTGATCTTGTTTGAAACTCAAATTTTTGGACCCCCCTGCAACAGACCAACTGAATCAGGATCTCTGGGTTTAGGAACTTTAAACTCACACTTTAAAGTAGCTCTGCAAGTGATTAGGATGCACATGGTTCATGGAGTTAAACACAACTGCTATCCTAGCAGGCTGATACAGATGTAAGTTTCTGTTTCAGTTCTGCCAGTTACTTGTCATTGTTTTTTGGATAAGGTTTCTAAGCATCTTTAAGGCTCAGCTTATTCTTCTATAAAATATGGTTACCAGTAAGGCTGCTGTGGTTAAATGAGATAATGGATATAAAGTAGTGTACAATGAAGGTGGTCAATAAATATTAATTTACTTCTTTTTCTTCCTTTGAAATTTTCTTGTACTTCAGTGTTGAGTAGTATAAAGAATTTTTGATTTATGTACTAGACATTGCTTTGGCTGCAGATTTCATTACTGAACCAATCATGTGTTACTAAACCTCCTTTTTTTTGTTAAACTCTTGAAGCCAAAGTCCTCTCACTTGCCATTAAGTTGCAGAAGTACAGTGCTTTCCTAATCCCCAGGCTTCTGCTTCTCCCATTCTTAACCAGCATGGGACCAAATGGAAGGATTAATGGGCTAGAAATCATTTGGGTATTGATTTCCCACTTAATAAAATTAGGTACTTTTTCTACATGATTTCATAGTTCTTTAATGTTAAAAAAAAAGTCTCATTTTTATGTCACACATAAAATTGAGAAGACATTATTAAGTTCTCCAACTGTTTTACCACTTGCCAATGTAGACTCCTAGATTTATGTGGAAGAAAATTATTTCATTTCAGGGAAGAAAATAAGTAAAGGATCTACTAGAATCAATTTTTACTTGACAATGTCATCTCTTTGACTTAGAAAAGGGATGCGGTAGAGAGAGAGATAGCAGCTAGAGATCTAAGGACAGGAAAACCATGCTTTGAGGAGCCTTATCATATCAGAATGTCAGTAGCTCTTCCCTCTGTTTCAGCCTCACCTCTTATAAGAGTTGTTCCCAAGTGGAAGTGAGCCCTCTTTATATATTCAGCATACATATAATTCAGAAATTGGGAGATTAGAAGTAAGGTATAACGCATTAGTGTGCTAGGGCTGCCTTAACAAGTAGCACAAACTAGGTGACTTAAACAACAAAAATTTGCTGTCTCGTAGTCCTGGAGGCTAGAAGTACTAGATTAAGATATAGCGAGGTTGATGCCCTCTGAGAGCGGTGAGGATGAGTCTGTTCCACGCCACGCCCTTGCTTCTGGTGGTTTGCTGGAAATCTTTGGCATTCCTTGGCCTGTAGATGTATCAACCCAATATCCTCCTTTATCTTTGCATGGCATTCTTGTGTGTGTTTGTGTATCCAAATTTCCGTTTTTTTTTCAAGTAAGGACATTGATCATACTATATTAGAGTAAGACCCACCCTAATGACCTCATTTTAACTTGATTACCGCTACAAAGACCCTATTTCTAAGTAAGGTCACATTCTTAAGTATTGGGGATTAGGATTTTAATGTATCTCTTTTGGAGGACAAAATTAAACCCATAAAACATGGTTCACAGCATCATGAGCCAGAGGCCTTGCTGTGCAGGATCTATATAAATAGCCTGAGGGCTGAAACCAGGACAAATATACCAGCTTCCCTCAGAACAAAATGCAATTCCTGGATTTTTACCTCCTTTGAAAACTGAGTACTGATTACTTATTTTTATATTACCAATGCTCTTTGAGTGCAACATGCTGAGTACGTGTGATTCATTTTATTTTTCTTAGGAACAGAGCTCTTGAAAAACACTGTCTGGGTATCTTCAGAGGAAAAAAGGAGAATCTTAATTGAATTGGTGATACTTTGGGTCTCTCACAGAGGAAGGTAAGGTTATAGTCAACAGCACACAGAAGATTATCCTCATTTACCCAGGACTGACAATGTTTATGAATTCTAAAGCTGTGCATGTAGTGAATATACAAGATTAAATTGAAATAAGAATAACAGAATAGCAGTTTAGAAATGATTAAAATGTGCCCAAGCCCCAGGTTTTCTGATAACATGATAGTTTTCTAATGGTAAAAATGTTTAAGATGTATAGCCATAAAAAAGACAAAAAAATAAGAAACATATATAGCCAACTTTTAATAATCTGCATTATAGATCCATAGCAGATCTGAAGTTGGCTATATACCAGTATCAGGAGTTGCACCCTGGAGCACAGTTTTGTAGCAGCACTCCCAGCTCACCAGCTAAGGACTAGTGACCCTACTTCAGAACAGCTGGCTAAAAGGATAGTCAAGTGAGGGGGTGTGCTGCAAGAGAATCTTGCTAAATAGAGATGCCAACAAAAGGGAGAGTCTGTCTTCTTGTTCCTTTCTGATCTGTAGAACCTGCAGGCCCACTGTTGAACTCCCACTGGAGCACAGTGGAATATGATGAGAGAATCCTTAGGAGACCTTGTCAAGGAATTTGGGGGAAGAGTATGTTTGCAAACATGAGGGAAAGTGCTTATTTCTCCTTTAGATATTCTGCAGGCAGAAAGCTTACTAGTGTAGCCTGTAGTAGGGCTTTAAGCCACCAAAGTAAAGAATACTTGGAAGAAATCCAATCATTTCTGAAGCTGTGTGTGAAAAGATACAGTGGTTGGGATGGGGTGGAAAATCTCTAGAGCAGCTCATATAGCCACAGGGAATAGAGAGGGAACCCCTACACAGAAAAAAAGATGGCAGCAAGGATGAAGGGCTATTAGCTTTAGGACAACTAGACACTTCTGAAAGTGAATACTCTGTCCTTACAGAGACCACCAAACCAGCAGAAGCCCCAGGACAGCACACAGCCATTCCAAAATTCCAAACCAGACTCATTCCAGGAAAGCCTTACATCTCAGTCTAGAATGTGGATGGTTCTGTAAGATGACCTGTGATTCTCCTGTTCCTGCTTTCTGCCCCTAATTTTAGAGAAACAGACCTAGAAAGAGGGAGGGGAGGAGTGAAAGAGTGTGCCATACTTTACCTTCTCCCCTCCTATTTTAAACTGGACAAATCTGTTTTAATTATTAAAAGTAGCTACAAAGTTAAACAGTCTGTCCAGGACGGCATTAAAGAAAATGAGAACGAAAGGTTTAAGATAGCATGGTTGGAGACAATAATTAGAAGAAACCAAGTAGTTTAATTTTTTATAATGCTCTGTCTTATAAACACTCTTGAATTAAAAATCATCCTATTATTGGAAGAGATCGTCAGGGTTGAAATGCTACACATAATTGAAGACTACTTATTAGACCAAGACCTTAAAAACTTCTTTACTGACTGTTCCCAATATGTGGCACTGGTAATCATTAAAGAATCATTGTATTGACTATTAAACATCTAGGGATCCCCTGTTGTAAATCAAGTTAACAAAACATTTATTTAACAAATATATATTGATTGCCTATTATGAGGTACATGCTATAGTAGGTGTTGGCAGTATAAATATGAAGAAGACATTGTGTGTGTGTATTTATATACAGTTAATTAAACTTCAGCCAGAGAAGTACTATACTAGAGGGTTGATGGAGGTATGATGGTATTTCCCAGGAGGAAGCAGTTAGCCTCCTTGGAAATGAGTAGTCTTCACAGAAAGTATGACATTTGACCTACTTCTTAAGGAGATGCATATGAAGCCTATTAAATCCATGTCAGCCTTGAACACCATTGCTCTGATTAGTTTCTTGGGCTGTTTTTCCACCTGGTGAGCAGATAAGAGTAGCACAGGAAAGTTCTGATGAAAGGAAGAAGTGCCAGAGAGAGAAGGCCTTCTAAGGAAAGAAGCCTGTAAGACGGAACTCCCTGAGGATCCTAAGTACCAGCAATTGAGGGAAGAAAATTGCTGCCGGAAGTGCAGGAAATGAAAATTCTGACCTAGATCATTTTACTTATGTCTTCCCTGGTTCTATGAATATATCTCAGGGGTCCTTTTATCATCACATCTCATTTACCAGGCAAGGTTAATCAGTGACCACATGAGACAGTCACTGACTCTTAAGATTTTACGATTTGAAACAATTTATACAAATGTGTAGAGAGACAGGTAGACCAGTGGTCTCCAACCTTTTTGGCACCAGAGACTCATGCTTTGGAAGACAATTTTTCCACTGGTTGGGATGGGGGAGCGGGAGTTGGATGTCACAGGAGTTGGATGTGTTGGGGGGGTTGGTGTCAGGATGAAACTCTTCCACCTCAGATCATCAGGCATTAGTTAGATTCTCATAAGTAGTGTGCAACCTAGATCCCTTACATGAGCAGTTCACAAAAGAGTTCACACTCCTATGAGAATCAAATGTGTGGCTGATCTGATGGGAGGAAGAGCTCAGGCAGGTGGTAATGCCCACTCACCACCACTCACTTCCTGCTGTGTGGCCTGGTTTCAAACAGGCCTCAGACCAGTACCTGTCTGCAGCTGGGGGGCTGGGGACCCCCAATTGTAGATCTGTAAAAAAAGGGCTGATAGAGCTGCTAATGCAAGCCTCAAGATTAGTAAAGAAGCAAATACAGAAGTGCAGTTCAAGTATACAGATGTTCTCTTTATCCTGTAGCTCTCTGAAGTTTTGCTGATTCTACTTTGTATTTTTAACGGTTCCAAATTTAATGAGGTGTGTAATTGAGTGTTAGTTGTGAGATTTGTAGCAAGTCTCTGAGAGATCCCTTTTTAAAAAAATAATCCAAAAACTAGAAGATTGGACTAAATTACCACTATGATTCTTTTCAAAGCTATCTTAATTTACAACTATTTGAAGTTACTTCAATCAGTGTTAATGATACCATAGTTGCAGATTTGAAGCACTGAGATGCAGTTCACTTATTTAAAAACTACTTGGTAAGGGTTTATTGGGAGGATTGCAAGATAAAATACAGGACACCTAGTTAAATTTGAATTTCACATAAAGAGTGAAGATTTTTAATGTAAGTATGTTTCATAAAATATTTGAATAAACACAAATATCTAAATATACTTAAAATATTTGTTCCCCATTTGAAGTTAAAATTTAACTATCTGTTCTAAAGTTTGTTACAAAATCTAGCATTCTTACATCTATGTTAGTTTCAATATAGTAGTAACTAGGCTCTGTGGAAGACAAAATGGTGAATCAGTCATATAGATCCTTTGTTCAGTCTAGAGTGGCAAATGAGAGTCAAATATTAATAATGATATTGCAAAGTAAAAAGTGATGAGTTCATGAGAAATGTACTAAGAGAGGGCTATAAAGTTTGCAGGAGAGAGAAATTACTTTTGGTCACAAGAGCAAGAGAAGAACTTGAGCTGGGCTGAGAAACATGGCAGGATCAAGGTTTGTGAATATGGTAGGAGGGAGGAGTAAGAGCATTTCCAGTAGAGCAAATGGCTTGAATAAAGGCATGGAGGGAAAGTACAGAGGAAGAGAGGACAGCTAGTCATTTGGTTTGACTGTGGCCTGATTGGGTAAACGGAAATTAAAGCAGAAAATACTAGAAAGGGAAGGCAAAGTCATACCAAGGGAGCTACAAGTAGGAGGGATGAAGGCTAGAAATCTGAATAAGCTAAAGAATTTGATTTGATGCTTGAAGGTTTTTGATCCAGGGTGACGCTGCCTACCAATAGCGACAAGGGAGAGGGGTAAAGAATCATCCCAAATGAGTCACTTCCAAGAAAAACTTGGGCTGTTAGTGTTGTTTTTAACACATAGCTTAAGAAACATATTAGGTGAAAAGGAAATACAGGTAAGTGGGAAAATTACAAGTTTAGGTATGAAAAGATTATGGGTTCAAATCCACATTCTCCTTCTGTATGATGTTATTTCCTATCTGAAACTCAGTTTCCTTCTATATAGAAAAGACTACAGATGCTCTCATTATGCTTGGAAGTTATAAGTACCACTGTTTCCCTGGCACACATTAGGAGCTCACTAAATACTAATTGCCATGAGTTATTATTTACTTATTACTTATTCTCCTCTAGTCTTCAGAGTATCATATTTTATTGTAACAGGTGAAGATGCTCCCAATAGATTTAAAATTTTTTTTTCAAAATATTTTTCTCTATATGAAGAAAATCTTTTTCTTAAAATAAACAAATACCAGCATATCTATCTGAACTTAAAAAAAAAAAAGAACAAGGAAAAATTAAGAAGCCAACATTTGGAATATTTTGTCCAAATATTTACTGTAAATTGATTTCCTTGATACTAGAGAAAGCTAGATGTTCTTCCTAAATACCACATGGTTAAACCAGAAATCCTGAGAAAAAAGCTGAGGTATCATTCAATAATTATGAAGTGAAAGCAAGAACTTCTATTTAATTATTTATAGCCTCACCAAATAGTATAGAATTTAGGTCAGTAAGTGAACCAAAGAGTCTCATGGATCCTGTGTACTTACAGGAATAACAAAGCATGTGGGCTCATGACCTGTGAAAGCCAGAGTGAAGGGGAGAATTAAGCATTAATAGGATCTTTTCTGTATAAAGACTCATTCTGGGCCTGGCATGGTGGCTCATGCCTATAAACTTAGCACTTTGGGAGGCCAAGGTAGGAGGACCAGTTAAGCTCAGGAGTTTGAGACCAGCCTGGACAACATGGTGAAACTCTATCTCTACAAAAAAATACAATACTTAGCTGGGTATGGTGGTATGCACCTGTAGTTCCAGATACTCAGGAAGCTAAAGTGGGATGATCTCCTGAGCCCAGGAGTCCTGGCATGCAGTGAGCCAAGATGGTGCCACTACACTCCAGCCTCGGTGACTGAGTAAGACCCTGTCTCAAAAAAATAAAAAATTTAAAAAGACTGATTCTGGGTCATTGCCCTTGTTTCTGATTTTTTTTTCCTCTAGAATTCTATCTCAGTTGTCTCTTTGTCCATTAAAATAGGCCACAATGATTGATGCTAAATTTGTTCTTTGAGATAGCACCTAGAGGAACAGTTATCCAAAATGTTCTGTGCCCTGTCAAAGGCTGAAATAGCTACCATTGCTAAAATTACGTGTTTATAGATAATACCTCCCTATTTTGGCATTTTTCTTTCAAAAATGAGTTATCACAACCTGTACCTGCTTTTATTCATATCTTTTTTGCTCAACCTCATTGTCGAGTATCTAAAATAGATTTGCAACTGAAGAACTACTCATTCCCTTGTCTTGCCATTCCAGGCCTGTAGCTTTCTTTCAAACTTATTCCTATGCACAGCACAACACGAGCTGTATCTTAGGTTTATTCTCATACTTTGTATTTGGAGTCAATAAACTTGGTAAGGGCACAGCTGTGACACAGTAGGATTCCTACAGGCTTTAAGCAAATGTACGTGATTTTATCAGTCCCAGAAGACTAGGCCTTGAGTGATTTGCTTGGGTAACATTTTTGGCAGTGTTTCTTTCTTTGTTTTTATTAATATTCTGGATTCATGTTTGTGAGACTCTCAAATTTATTTCAAATTAGATAAAGGTGACCTTCCCCTTCACCAAGCAGAACCTCCCATGAGACTCATGAATCCTGTTGAGGCCAATTATAGCTATCACTTGTTAACTATTGGAGTACCTTCAGTCTTAAAATAGCTACTAGAAAATTAAGACTGCAACATGAAGGAAAACAAAATGGTCAGGCATATCACCCATTTTTAATCAAATGATTTGGTTTAGGACTTGATAACCTGGTTAGTACTTGAGCACTGAGCAACATTTTGAATTTAAAGTAAGTTGGAGAAAATAAAGGAAGTTAAATCACAGAGCATAGAAATAAAATCAGTTATATTCGGAACAGAAACATCTTGGGCTCAATGTCTGGGAACAGTGAGATTAGGCTGCTTGAGAACTTAGCTCTTACTGGGTTCCGTGGCCTCCACCTGCAAGAGGACACTCTCGTCCCAGCGAGACTGACATGAGAATCACAAGACCACTGCCCTCTATCTCATCTTTTCTCCAAGCCTTAGGCCATCATGGGATTCACTAACATCATTCACACTTCAGAAATAATATATCAGAGTGATCCCCTCTTTTCTGCTCATCTTTCTGCCTCTGTAGAAAAGGGAGAATTTCACTGTTTACCTCAGGAAACATGAAAGTTAATGATAAATATAAATGATGGATGAAGCGAGCATTGAAAGCTATAAAGTTAAAAGTAGGACCTAATACCCTGTAGTAACATGTGCTCCTTTTTAAAAGAAAACAAAGGTGAGTCATTTTAGAAAGGTTAATTTCTGCTACCTCTCGAAAATATTCTCAGAATAATTACAGAGAAAAATTGTAACAAAACACTGGAGGCACCATTGGTGAAAGAAAACTGTATATTCTTGTATTTTAGTCAGGAAAGAATAATATCTACCTGATCAAAATGACTTTTTTCCTCAGAAACTGTAGTACTGGCTCCTAGAAAACAGAGAATTTAAACTACTATTTCTCAGAATGTTTTCTTTACATGACCCAAAGATAGTTTCCCTCCATGAGAAAACATCCCAGTGTTTGTATTCAAGTTGCCATCAATACGAAGCAATAGTACGTTCACATATAATGTGTTTCCAGCTTTTCAAAGCATTTTCACTTGTTTCTCAATTGTTTATTACAATAATAACCTTGTGTTGACATTATTATCTTCATTTTATAAATGAGTCAACTCAGATTCCGACATTAAGGGACCTTCTTAATATACTTAGCTTATAGTGACAGAACCAAGGCAAAACCAAAAGTCCTTGCCAAAGACCACCTCCATATTTATCTTCAGTGGACTCCCTGAGTTTTGTATGTTGCTCTTCTGTGGTATGGCAGAAGCCCTCCAAATTTGGAAAAGCAAGCAAGTACAAGGTAGGCACTTAGATGATCGTTCCTCAACTGGCTTCTCCACAGCCTTTTCTTCCCAATATATAAAATACAGCGATAAAGGACAGAAGACTAACATTTTAAACACTGAATGGTTGCTCAAATTTACTCCTCCTATATAATGGTAGGATTTGTTCTTCTAATGCTGTACAGCTGCACTGACTACTTAAATTGCATGTTTCACATGTCTCTACTATTCAGCTCCTCTTCTCATCTCTGCAGTACCTACCCCCAACATACTATTGGCTTAACAATCCCCATGGAAGATTCTTTGAATTTAAGAGACAGATTTGAGGGAAACACAAATGGCCATCCTTTCATTTATCTGCTTCTATCACAGAAATTTGATTGTTCTCTAAAGGCAAGCATGGATTTTTTTTCTTCCAGCAGCTTCAAGGTAATTTTCTACTTAACTCGCATAGTAGCAGTTGTTGGGGCTCAGAAAACCTCAAAATGTGCCATTTTGATATGCTAATTATTTCAAACTGAGGGCACTTTGGAAACAGCAAATACAGGAAAGGGCTCTACCTGAACTCCCTTAAGTGCCTGAAGACAGAGCCTTCAAAAAGTAACAAAATTGTCATTGGTATCCTCCCTGGGAATCTCATCAGGGAGGGAAGATTAACTCACAGGAAACACCACACTCCAGATAGACTTTGTCACAAACTATCCATCACCTCTTCTTCTGATGAGGTCCTTGGAGACAACTTTTATTACCTGAGATATGTTATTTGCATAACAAGACAACCTTTGTTCTCCATGCATTCCCTCCTCTTATTCTCCTACAACTTGTATAGACACCCCCGCCACCCCCGCCCCCCAAATAAACCACCAACCCCTACTCCTTTCTTTAGCTCAGGATGCTATAGAAACTTCTATCATCTGGCCCCTCTTCAAATCCTCTACTTTGTGGGACTCCTATTGTAATTAAAATAACTTTTCTACTACTGATCTGCCTGCTGTCTGTATATTTCATAGATTCAATTATTGAACCTTCAGAGGATAGAAAGTTTTATCTCCCCTACACAGTTATGAGTAACTTGGAATTTTACTCATTGTTTTGTATCATTAGTTACCTTTATTTATATACATATGTCCTCTCACTCCATCACTCCAAATGAAGTGATATGCACATATATATAAAATACATATTTCATATTTCTATGTCCTGTTTTCCCTCCATTCCTTGCATTTTTCCTTGTGTATTGTTAGTGTTCAAATAAATATTTGTCAAATCAAACAAAAAGGAAATGAAAGAATGAAAAGTCCTATAAACCTATCAATAGTAAACAATAGTGGCTGTACTTTTATTTCAGAGAAGCAAGTCAACAGTTTTCACATGAAATGTCTTGGAAATATTCCCTAATGACTTGGCAGTCAACAATTCCCAGCTCAAAAAATTTAAAAAAGATAAAACAATACATTACCTTTATTGTTATGAATATCTTCAAAAATAATTTCTCATAAATTTAGTTATGATTTAATTGTTTGCGAAACTATTGGGAATTATTTCATTTTGCTTACCATTCTTATAGAGAAGAAAAACTAATTTTCTCTCTACTCTGTAGTTCTTAAATGAAACTTCTTGTAACAAAAGACAGATTAATAGGAAGAAGCTTATTAAAATGTATACTTAATTGTTAAACATTATATGGGAGAAGATCTAAAAATGAGTAAATCTCTAGAGCCAATCTCAAAGAAAGTTTAAACTTCAGGCTAAATGCCATTGTTTTTTGAAACAAGAAAGAAAGATGTAGGAAAAGATCCAGCTAACAGGAGATGGCTAGGAAAACTATCTTAAACAAAGGTAATGGGAAGTTCTAATTAGGGAAAGGGAGTCAGGCTGGCGGGACCAAGGGAAAGAAAAAAGAAAAAGCAGATCTGCTGTAAGTCCTTTCTTCATGGTTCAGTCCACATAGCCCTCCTATACAAATAACTCACAATCTTCCTGTGTCCAGCTATCACTAGACCCTTGGCTGATCAAAAAATGCAAGGTAGCTCACTGCAATCTTGGTGTTATCTGTACTGCACAAAAGCCTCTTCAGCACACAGCAAGCACAAGCACCATGCTAGAAAATCACCAACAAGCCTTTGTCTTTTGGAGTCAGCTCGTCTCTTGCTGATTTGCCCATTGCGTTCTCACAATGTATCTTCCTACTTTCTCTAATAAATCTGTCTTTATCTCCAACTGTCTTGGTAAATTCTTTTTATCACCGATCTGACACTGGCCCCTGAGAGTCACCATCTGCAACAGAGGGATGATTATGCAAATTTAAGTCAAAACCTTTTCCATTTTGTGTAGGAGTCATTGGTGATTTAGTGTCCTTTTCTTCCTGATACAGGGAGAAAGACTCTTACAAATAAAGATTTCTTTTACAGATATAAAGTTCTCTCTCTAAAAAAGTAACTTTTTAGGGCCAATCCTGTGTCTGGTGTTTCTCAAAATAATATGCCAAACATTTTGAGGTGGCATATTCTGTTCTTCTACAGTCATGTTTTGGGGTATTGTACCTTGAGCACTACCATATTCCTGTTTAAAACTTTCCAAAGCAGTTTCACAATCCAGAAACTGAGTTGGTGGATTATCCCCTGACCCAGGGAATTTTTATAAAAACAAAAGGAAAAGGTTAATAGTTAGAACTAATTATAATCTAGTTTTTTAGTTTGGAAAGCAGCCAATCAAGAAGGTTTTTAAATGCTTGTCTTAAAGCACCTGCTGCAGTCTGAATACCTCCAGTGATGGCTGAGTGGCCCATACAGCAACAATCATGAAGATTGTCCATACATGAGCCATTACTATGATTTCTCTGCAATTTATATCAAGTTGTCCAGTTTTAGCTCACAGGGCTTTAGTAAAGAGGAATTCTTTATTTTTAGTGATTCCATGTTGGAAAGGTAGGAGAAAATTTGAAATGTTAGTTTTAAGAGTTTTAGCAAAGTCTCAGCCAAATGTTAGAATTCAGGGTCAGTTGAAGTTTACAGGTAGATAGCAAAACCTCAAAGACAATAAGCAGGAGTAGAGTCTAATAACAAGTATACTATAGTTTTCTCTTGGAACATAATTTTTCTCTCCGTAGTCACCCCTACTTGGAGAAAAGTTACATCCCTACTTACTGCAAAGTTAGTTGCAGTAAGAATAATTTGTTTACAAACTAAGTCTACTGTCATCATGTCCTGATTATTTACATAAGCGTAGCAAGAGTAGTGATTAACCATAAAGGCTCTTTTTAAGTTGGCTTCACTGGAACTTTAATAAGAAATCTGAGACTGGACTTCTTAAGCATCATAAGGCTCTGATGCCAACCCAAGAACTTGTCATCAGATATTGTAACAGGATAAAAAAAATTTTTTTTTCTTATTCCTTTTTCTCTACTTTCCCATTTCTGTGAAAAGAGTTTTTTTTTAAATAAAAGATTGATACTTAGCATAATAGGCAGTCAGTATTAGCAAGAATAAAAAATTTTAGTCTTAGAAATACCATGTTTTGAAGAAATTAAGGCTTCAAAGCCTCACTTGAAGATTCACAATATCAGTCTGATGTCCCCCATCAGACTGAAGCCAGGATATTTGCTTAAAACCTTGATGCCTTTGAAGATTCCACTTCAGGATGCATTCAAGTACTTGGCTTTGGGTGTGGGGATAAACAGATAGTAGAAAAAGTATAAACAATGTTGGAAAGAGAAAGAGAGAGGAAAACAAGAGGGAGAAAGAACAATTTGCATGTACTCATCTGGGAACCAATATTGTGTTGTGGTTAATATCAGCTTCTCTGGAATCAGATGGCCAAGTTTAAAATCAGCCACCTTGTTAAATGAGGAATATAATAGTCATAACTTCAAATAATTATTCTAAGGGTATGTCTTTAGTAGCAGTGTGAGAACAGACTAATACAGTAAATTGGTAATGGTAGACTGGGGTGCTGCTATAGAGATACCCGAAAATGTGGAAGCTACTTTGGAAGTAGGAAACAGAGACTAGAAGAGTTTGGAGGGCTCAGAAGTCAGGAAGATGTAGCAAAGTTTGGAACTTCCTAAAGACTTGTTGGATGACTTTGACCGAAATGCTGACAGTGATATGGACAATAAAGTCCAGGCTGAGGTGGTCTCAGACGGAGATGAGGAACTTATTGGCAACTGAAGCAAAGGTGACTCTTGCTATGTGTTAGCAAAGAATCTGGCAGCATTTTGCCCCTGTCCTAGAGATCTGTGGAACTTTGAACTTGAAAGAGCTGATTTAAGGTATCTGGCGGAAGAAATTTCTAAGCAGCAAAGCATTCGAGAGGTGACCTGTTTTTTTTCTGAACGTGTGCAGTTATATACACTCACAAAGAGATGGTTTGAAATTGGAACTTAAGTTTAAAAAAGAAGCAGAGCATAAAGGTTTGGAATATTTGTAGCCTTACCATACATAGAAAAGAAAAACCCATTTTCTGGGGAGAAATTCAAGTCTGCTACTGAATTTTGCATAAGTAATTAGGAGTCAAATGTTAATAGCCAAGACAAATGGGAAAATATCTCCAGGGCATGCCAAAGATCTTCATGGAAGCCCCTCCTGTCACAGACCCAGAAGCCTAGGAGGGAAAAATGGTTTTGTGAGCCAACCCCAGGTTCTTGCTTCTCTGTGCAGTCTCAGGACTTGATGTCCTGCATCTCAGCTGCTCCAGCTCTAGTCGTGACTAAAAGGAGCCAACGTACAGCTTGGGCCATGCCTCAGAAGGTACAAACCCCTAGCCTTGGCAGCTCCCATGTGGTGGTGGGCCTATGGGTGTGCCGAAGACAAGAGTTGAGCTTTGGGAGCCTCTGCCTAGATTTCAAAGGATGTGTGGAAATACCTGGATGTTCTGGCAGAAGTTTGATGCAGGGGTAGAACCCTCATGGAGAACCTCTAGTAGGGCAATGCAGAGGGGGATTGTGGGGTTGGAGGCCCTACACAAAATCCTCACTGGGGCACTGCCTAGTGGAGTTGTGAGAAGAAGGCCACCATCTGCCAGACCCAAGAATGGTGGATCCACCGACAGCTTGCCTCATGCATCTGGAAAAGCCACTGGCACTCAATGCCAGCCCGTGAAAGCAGCTGTGGGGGCTATACCCTGCAGAGCCATAGAGGCAGAGCTGCCCAAGGCCTTGGGAACCTACTCCTTATATCAATGTGAACTGGATGTGAGACATGGAGCCAAAGGAAGTTATTTTGAAGTGGTAAGCTTTAATTAGTGTCCTCTGGTTTCAGACTTGAAAACAAAGGACCTGTGGCCCCTTTGTTTTGGCCAGTTTTACCCATTTGGAACAGAAATATTTACCCAATGTTTGTACCCCCATTGTATCTTGGAAGTAACTAAGTTGCTTTTGATTTTACAAGCTCATAAGTGGAAGGGACTTTCCTTGTCTCTGATGAGACTTTGGATTTAGACTTTTAGGTTAATGCTGGGATGAGTTAAGACTTTGGCTGACTGTTGGAAAGGCATAATTATGTTTTGAAATGTGGAAAGGATATGAGATTTGGGAGGTGCCGGGGCAGAATGATATAGTTTGGCTCTGTGTTCCCACCCAAATCTCATCTCAAATTGTAATCCCCAGGTGTCAAGGAAGGGACCTGGTGGGAGGTGATCCTAGGGACAAAGTCCCCTTTGCCATTCTCATGATACTGAGTCTCATAAGATCTGATGGTTTAAAAGTGTGACACTTCTTTCCCTTGCTCTCTCTCCTGCCACCATGTCAGATGTGCCTTGCTTCTCCTTCACCTTCTGCCATGATTGTAAGTTTCCTGAGGTCTGCTCAGCCATGTGGAACTGTGAATACACCTTTCTTACACCATACACAAAACTCAACTCAAGATGGATCAAAGACTTAACTGTAAAACTCCAACTATAAAAACCTTAGAAGACAACCCAGAAAACACCATTCAGGGCATAGACATTGGCAAAGATTTCTTGATGAGGACACCAAAAGCAATTATAACAAAGCAAAAATTGACAGATGGGATCTAATTAAATGAAAGAGCTTCTTTCTTCTGAAAGAGGCTGAGCAGACCTCAGCAAGGAAACTATCAAAAGAATGAACAGACAACCTACAGAATGGGAGAAAATTTTTGCAATCTATCCATTTGAAAAAGGTCTAATGTCCAGCAGCCATAAGGAACTTTAACAAATTTACCAAAAAAACAAAAAACAAAAAAAAACTTATTAAAAAGTGGGCAAAGGACATGAACAGAAACTTCTCAAACGAAGACATACATGCAGCTAACAAATATATGAAGAAAAGCTCAACATCACTGATCATTAGAGAAATGCCAATCAAAAGCACAGTGAGATACCAATTCACACCAGTCAGACTGGGTATTACTAAAAAAGCCAATAAAACAACAGATGCTGGCGAGGTTGTAGAGAAAAATTAATGCTTCTACACTGTGCTTGGGAGTGTAAATTAGTTCAACCATTGTGGAAAACAGTGTGGTGACTTTTTAAAGACCCAAAGGCATAAATACCATTTGACCCAGCAATTCCTTTACTGGTATATACACAAAGGAATATAAATCATTCTGTTATAAAGACACCTGCATATGTATATTCACTGCAGCACTATTCACAATAGCAAAACCATGGAAGCAACCTAAATGCCCATCAATGATAGACTGGATAAAGAAAATGTGGTACATATGTACCATGGAATACTCTGCAGCCAGAAAAACAAATGAGCTCATGTCTTTTGCAGGGACATGAATAGAGTTGGAGGCCATTATCCTTAGCAAACTAACACAGGAACAGAAAACTAAATACCACATGTTCTCACTTATAAGTGGGAGCTACATGATGAGAACACATGGGCACATGTTGGAGAAAAATACACACTGGGGCTTGTCAGAGGGTTGGGGGTAGAGGAGAGAGAGGATAAGATAGAATAGCTAATGGATGCTTGGTTTAATACCTGGGTGATGGGATGATCTGTGCAGTAAATACCATGGCACATGTTTACCTAGGTAACAAACCTGCACATCCTTCACATGTGCCCCTGAACTTAAAGCAGAAGTTGGAAATTGAAAAAAATTATTTCTATTTGGGCTTGAAAAATAACTGTGTTGGCACATATATGCCTTTTAGCCTAATGGGGTCTTCCTGCCCACTGCACAGACAAAATCAGTTGCCACAGAGACCATGTCATTGCAGTGAAGAAAGAATTTAATTAACACAGGACTGGCCACACCACTCAGGAAATGGAGTTATTACTCAAATCAATCTCCTCAAAGACTTGGAGAATTTTTCAAGGACAGCTTGGTGAGCAGGTGGCTAGGGTATGCGGAGTCCTGATTGGTTGGGTCAGAGATAAAATCACAGGGAGTCTAAGCTGGCTTCTTTCACTGAGTCACTTCTGGATGGGGCCTCAGGAGTGGTTGTTGCATCCAGATGGACCCATTGGTTGTCAAACATGCAAAAATCCTGAAGTGATATCTCAAAAGGCCAATCTTAGGTTCTCTAATAGTGATATTACCTGCTGAAGTAATTGAGGAAGTTGCATATCTTGTGACCTCTAGAATCATGGCTGGCTATCATTTATATCTACACATTAGCAGAATTCTGGCTCCTCTGTCCTCCTAGCCTGGTGGTCTGTCATTAACTTCACAAAGGTGGTCGAGTTTGGGGTAAGGACTATTCCCACTTAAATTATCAACTAAATGTCTCCCAAAGTTAGCTTGGCATAAGCCCAAGAATACTTAAGGGCAGCTTGAAGTCTAATGGCCTGATGGGGGTTATCTAGATTAGATCTCCCCCTCTGCCATAATTTTCTCCTGTTATAATTTTTGCAAAGGCAAAGATTCACAACACATTAAATAAAATAATGAACCTTTACTAGAGATTTGACGTGAGGTAAGATAGTGTTTATGATTCTATAGAGAACCTTTTTTTTTTCAAGTGGGCTTGTTTATCTTTCTCAGAATGGATGCCCTGAAATGATTAAACACTATCTGCAGTACTGGGGATTCACATGATATAAAAAAAATATTTTGATTCAGTTAATTAAAACAGCAAAGTCTATATAGTAGGAGAACAGTTTGACTGAACTGTTCTGTTACCTTAAATTATTAAACTCCTGTGTTTGGCATTTACAAGGAACATTTGCCTTTCTCTCTCTAATGCTAAATCAAAAGAATTTAATTCAAATATTATTTCTTATTATGAACACCAATTTTAGGATTGTATTGGTTGTAGTTAGATTGGTTGATCTCATATAATATCAAATGTATCCTCTATTTAGTGAAGATATCAAAGAGGAATCAAGAGAGCACATATTCTGATATTTGAAATCCGAACTTTTTTTCTTCCAACTACAGAAGCCCTAAAGTGTGAGATCTTTGAAGAATTCATTTATTTTTTTTGACATGAGCTGCAGGTGTCTTCTGGACAAGATGCCTAAATATGGACTGGTTGCCATGAGGGAGAAGAATATAATATTAATGTGGAATTTTTATAAGAGAATAAATAAACCTCTGCTGGCAACAAATGAAGGCATAATTAGATTATTCTAAAGAAACTTCTCTATAAACAAACTGAGATGGGTTAGTAAACAATGAAGAAATTTTATGCAATAGTTTTGGCAAGAATTATACAGAAGGCAATAATGGTCAGATATTGTTTGTAAGATCACATATTGAAGAGGCATCATTTGTCTTGGGTAATACCCAAGGTTCGTTCCCTCACAGCAAGGAAATCAAGGATATGGATACAAACAAGATTAAGAGCAGAGGTTTAATAGGCAAAAGCAAAAAGAGAAAAGCTCTCTCTCCTGCAAAGACAGAGTGGCTCTTGAGTGTGTCTTCTGGTTCTGTGGTGAAATGCATGGGGTTTTATAGAGGAGCTTGAGGAGGTGGTGTCTGATTTACATAGGGCATGAGAGATTGGTCAGACCAGGTGTGCTGTTTGCATAGCTTACAAAGAAGCTGGCCATCCCACCCTAATCTTTTATGATGCAGATGGGGGTCTTATGTAGCCTGCTTTTTTACTGCACGTGTGTTATAATGAGAATTGTTGATGCCGCAAAAGAAGTAGCACTTGAATATAAATTTTCTGAGCAAAGCAATTTGCTTCTATAGCAGGGTGCAGCTCACAAATGGAACAATGGCAAGTGCACATCTGGACAAGGAGGGGAAGGGGTACTTAAGCCTGATGGAGGTCACCTCTACTGCTGTGTCACTCCCCTGTTGGCTAGGGTTAGAACACACAGTCTAGTCTAATTCCGATTGACTATTTTAATGGGAGTAGGAGTACGAGCCAGAGTGATGGGGTGGGTAGTTTGGCGGGAAGGATGGTTATGGGTAGGTCAGAGGAGGTAAGTAAGGGCAGTAGTAGGGGTCAAAGCAGGTGACCAGAGCAGTTGACCGGGATGAGTCAGGAGGGGGAAGGGGACTGGGGAACAGATGTGAACTACTGATTAGAAATGGTGGAAAAGGTTGTTTACTGAAACTACAAGGAAATTAAATTTTAAAATAAAGAACAAGTCAGCTGAACATACTGACATATTGATTCTTTGAAGAGAAACTTGGGGTTCACTATATCTAACAAGCGCAACAAAGAATAGGGAAGAGGAAACCTCCATGTTGAATATACCTGGCTTACAGGTATCCCTTTTCTATTGGTATAGCTCTCAGCATTTACCTATGCAAGCTTTTACCTTGCTTATCTATGCTTGCAGCTTGATTTTTCAGACTGCTTTTTGTTAGAAAAGAAATGATTTGGGGCTAATTTTTATAAAATGAAAACATTACTGAGGACTTTCTTACCCTATCTGCCTGAGTAATTTCTAGCTCCTGTATCAATATGAAATGGCTTATAGTTGCACTGAGCCAGAAGATAATGAAATTATGTAATCAGAATTTTATATCAGGAAGGGGCCTAAAAGATAAATTAGCCCAGACATAGCATTTTAAACTATAAAATATAAGATTCAGAAACATTGACTTTTTCAAAGACACATTAGTTTGGGTCATAGTCAATATCACAATTCAGTTTAATGGAACAGAAATATATTAAGCACTTACTATGTGTCAGGTTCTTAGAAATTCAGGGAACAAAGGTTTTTAAAAAGGTGAATCCTACCTTTGATCTTACTATCTCATTAGAGAGCCATACATTTCATGCCTTCCCTCAATGTGAAGATTTAGCATGGGCCCCATCCTGTTCAGCCCTGTCCCGCTGCAGTACCTGCCAGCCATGGGCTCCAAGCGATTCAACAAGGGCCCCTGGTACCAGCTGTCGGCCAGGTCAGGAACCAGCTCCTGTCCAAGTATGAACCCCAGAAGGAGGCAGAGCTCCGCAGCTGGATCGAGGGACTCACTGGCCTCTCCATCCGCCCGGACTTCCAGAAGGGCATGAAGGATGGGATTATCCTATGCACACTCATGAACAAGCTATAGCCGGGCTCAGTTCCCAAGATCAACTGCTCCATGCAGAACTGGCACCAGCTAGAAAACCTCTCCAACTTCATCAAGGCCATGGTCAGCTATGGCATGAACCGCTTGGACCTGTTCAAGGCCAACAACCTGTTTGACACTGGGAACATGATGCAGGTAAAGGTGTCTCTTCTCACCCTGGCAGAGAAGGCCAAGACTAAGGGGCTGCAGAGCAGGATGGACATCGGCATCAAGCACCCGGAGAAGCAGGAGTGGAACTTCGACGATGCCAGCATGAAGGCCAGCTGGTGCATCATAGGGCTGCAGATGGGCAACAACAAATGCGCCAGCCAGTCGGGCATGATGGCATATGGCACAAGGAGGCATCTCTGCGACCTCAAGAACCACATCGTGCCCCCCATGGACCACTCGACCATCAGCCTCCAGATGAGTACCAAGAAGTGTGCCAGCCAGGTTGGCATGACGCCTCCTGGGACATGGCAGCACGTCTATGACACCAAGCTGGGAACCGACAAGTGAGACAGCTCCTCCATGTCCCTGCAGATGGGCTACAGCAGGGCGCCAACCAAAGTGGCCAGGTCTTTGGCCTGGGCTGGCGCAGATACACGACCCCAAATACTGCCTACAAGGCACAGTGGCCAATGGGGCTCCCTCTGAGGCCGGCGACTGCCCGGGCGCAGGGAGGTCCCTGAATATCCCCCTTACTACAGGAAGAGGCTGGCTACTGAAGCTCCCAGCACACTCTCTCCCCACGTCATCTTCCCATCTGGGTGTTTGGGTTTTTCTGTGTTTTCATCTTTTATTTCTTAACCTGTTCAGTGCTGCAAAACAACCGAGGGTCTGTGAGTGGCTCGTGGGATCAGCAGGGCTTTTTTCCCCTTGCCTTGGTCCTTTGCAAGACTGAGCCACCAGGCTTCAGGATAAGGGGTCAAGGTTGTATCCCAATCTGTGTAGGGTGCGGGTCCCTGATGGCACGTCCAGGATGTGGGCAGAGCTGGGGAGAAGAGACCTGGGCTTGGAAGGAACCGGCCTCCGAAGGTTTCCGGTTGCATCGCCTCTTCCCACTTTTGTCACCCAATCAGTTGGTGGTTTCTGTACCTGCAAAAGTTTCAGGAAGTATTAGCAAAAGAAAAAACTTTTTTTCCCCCTGAGGAATGGGGTGGGGACAGTGGAGGGGGTATTGGGAAATGGGTCCCCTGGGAAAGACTCCCAAGTGACTGGATTTCCCTATGACCCTCAGAGCAACAAACCTCAGACTCTCAGACCTGCCCTGGGGCCCTGTGGGGTAAGTGAGGCCTGTACAAGGAAGCAGAATTCTGAGTTGTTGGGGGTAAGCTTGACCCCATCTCTATGCTACTCTGCCCTCCCCATAGCCTCATTGTTTTTTTTTTTTTTGTTTTGTTTTTTTCTTGTTGCTGTTGCCCAGGCTGGAGAGCGGGGGGGTGATCTTGGCTTACTGCACCTCCACCTCCCTAGCTCAAGGGATTCCCCTGCCTCAGCCTCCCAAGTAGCTGGGACTGCATGTGCTCCACCACACTGGCTAATTTTTATATTTTTAGTAGAGACAGGGTTTCACCATGGTGGCCAGGCTGGTCTTGAACTCCTGGCCTCAGGTGATCCATCCACCTCGGCCTCCTCAAGTGCTGGGATTACAGGCATGAGTCATGGCTGTAATCCCAGGGGCCCTGCTCCATGCTCAATAAAACCTCTGTTTGTAAGAAAAAGAAAGAAGAAAGGAAAGAAAGAAAGAGAAAGAAAAGAAAGGAAGGAAGAAAGAAAAAGAAAGAAAGAGAAAATGTAGTATTGTAATTCTATGATACAGTATACAAAGTGTCTGATTTGCTGTTTCTGAAAAGCCTTTTTGGATAAGATGGCACATGAGTTGGACACATGAAGAAGGGTAGGAAGGTCATTCCGGAGAAAGATAACCGGAAGAGCAAAGGCGTAGGGGTATTGTGTATGTACGAACAAACAAGCCGAAAAAGGTGGAGGCAGAAAATGGCAAGAGCTTTGCTAGGTAGGAACTAAGTCTTACAGGGCAACATTGGCAGGTACTTAGGTTTTATTTTGTACAACAGTAGTATGTGGCATTCAAAGGATTTTAACACTGAAAATATAAACGTAAATTTATTTGATATTCTGGTCACAATATGGGGAAAAGGTGACTACTCAGGAAGTAATTAGAGTAGCCCAGGAAAGAGATGATGAGGTCATTATCTAGAACGATGGTCATACTGGAATATAACAACATAAAAATGCCAAGGAGGGGAGATTTAAGGAAGTTGAGAATTGTTAGTGTTGAGGAGTCTACGATTACTTTTAGGTTTCTAAATGAGTGGCTGTATCGATGATGTCGCCTAAGTATTGGGGCAAAATACTTAGAATTGTTTTATTGCATTTGTAATAAAACAATACATTTCATTTTGAACACAGTGAGATTGAGGTTCCTGTGTGGCATCCAAGTTGATGTGTCCAGAAGGACATGTGAGGCTAAAGTTCGTGATAGAGTCAGACTAGGGTGATATACGTGGGAGTCATCAATTTACTTGAAATGATGAGAGTAGATGAGATCACTAAAAATATTATATAAATAATGAAGACTATTGGTCCTGCTAAAAGCTTGTAAAATACACACAAACACATACTTACTGAGAAATGATCAGAGAAGAATAAAAGAATCAATAGAGCATTTATATATGTGCTGATGGAGAGAACTGAATTTCAAGGAGTGGTTAACATCAAAGGCTTCAGAGAGATCCAAAAAGATATGGTTTGAAAAATCATAGTTGGACTTGATCATGGGGGCGCATTTGGTAATCCCTGCAGAGCCATGTGCTGAACATCAGGTTGCACGGTGGAACAACGGAAGACTGACAGTGACGCCCAGTCAAGAGCTCCTTCCACTATACCACGTTGTCAAAACTTTATCTTCAACTCTCTTCCTTCTCCACTGTCTCCCAACTACCTGAAGTCCATTTGCAGATCATGATTATGTCTTTTTGTTTAAATACAGTAGAGAATTATCGAATGTAATTTCAGAGCCTTATGTTCAGTCCTTTTTTGGATCTAAATTTGTAGGTTCTACAGTATCCATTACTTAGGAAAAAAAAAGTAAAAGGACTAGAGTCAAGAAGGGTCTTTTAAAAACTGACATGCACTTTTAAATTTATCTAATTTTTAGAAAAAAATTTAATATATTTTCTGGCTGTATATTTTACAAGATGCTCAACATTATCAGAAATATTAAAAATCAGTTTTGACGCTTCCAAGTTACAATGACAGACTAAAAACCTCCCTTCAGGAAATGCAGTGCAAATTACAACTAAATTTTAGCATAAAACTCTACCTTTATTAATAATAAACTGAAGAGAAAGCTGTAAGACAACTTTAAAATATAAAGGCAATCCACTAAATGCTGTAACATTAGGATAAATTAATGAGAAAGCTGTGGTGAAATATTATAAAGTTCATGCAGAGTGGCTGCCTAAATATGACATCACCAGCAGAATTACTCAAAGATATAAATAGGTTGACTGACTATTCTGTTAATTTGGGTAGTATTGGAGGAGTCATATTAAAGAGAAACATAATATCTTGCCCATCCAGAAAGCATATGGAAGAAATTTGGCAGGTGGCTCTTTGGTCCAAAAAAACTAGTAAGTTTATCTCAGATAATGGCAATTATCAATGGCAATCAAATGGCATGGGCCAAACAAGTTCATTGCACAAGCCAAAAGTGGATAACCATTATTTTAGACATCTGCCAGTGTATACATTTACTTAGGAAATGAATGGCATGGGCCTAAAAGCTAATGGTGATTTTTTAATGAACTAGTGAGAGCCAGGAGTGTAAGTGCATGAAGGAGCATGACTGGCAGGGCTAGGGGAATAGGGAAAGGCCTGGGAGTACCTCTATAAAGCGTTTCCAGATAAAGACGATAAGGAGAGTAAGGCTCAAAGGGGAACTGTTCTGTTATTTTCTTTGCCCTAGCATTCTACATAGAGAAACTGTCTGGTGTTGAGGCACAGTAAAGGTAAGAAGAGAAATGCAAAGAATTTTGCAGTTGTTGACCAAAAATCGGAAAATTTCTCCTCCACAGGAAAACTTTGGCATGCATAGTTTCAGTATGAACCATATTATTAATTTTTTACTTATTGCACAGGAAAGAAATGCAAACTGAGAGATATGTTCCAAGAGCAGAGGAACAATGAAGATCTGGTGAAAAAGTGTTCTGAAATAGCACCTACATTTAAGCTTTTATCTTCCCCAGATTTACCCAACTCCACACACTTTGTTTTTACAAAATGGATTTCCTGTTCAAAGATAAGCTATAAACAGCACAGGGAATATATATAATAACTATGAAAAAAGGAATGAAAGTAAAGGATAAAATAACATCATCCCCCTTCAAAGGAACAAAAACTTAAAAAACATTTTTTCTAAATGTTCCAAAAAATTTGCATATGGTACTGCAAATGTGAGGGCTAAAAATAAGAGGTTAAAAACAAAGAGTATTGAGCTGGCAGAGATCAGATTAAAAATGGAAGATAAAAATAAAATATTACCAAGAAGAAACTCAGTTGAGAAGCATCAAAAAGCATCCAAATTATTTTTGAAAATATGATCATTGATAAACAGAGTATGCTTGATTAAAAACAATAAAAGGAAAATGAGATTAGAGAGATAATCATTTTATAAAATAGACAAATGACATTGAGTATAAATAATAAGAAAAAGATAAAAGGAAAAATAGAGGAAGAATTTATACATGTATACTGTACATTATGTATGTATGTAAATTAATTTACATACATAATTAAATGATATATTTATGTGTATGTGTATGGTCATCCTCAGTATCTGTGGGAGATTGGTTCCAGGACTCTCCCCACTCCCTGCTTCCCATAGATACCAAAATCTACTAAATTACCAAATGTATTTGTCCATTTTCATGCTGCTGATAAAAACGTATCTCGGCCGGGCACGGTGGCTCAAGCCTGTAATCTCAGCACTTTGGGAGGCCAAGGCGGGTGGATCAGAGGTCAAGAGACCGAGACCATGCTGGTCAACATGGTGAAACCCCGTCTCTACTAAAAATATAAAAAATTAGCTGGGCATGGTGGCACGTACCTGCAATCCCAGCTACTCGGGAGGCTGAGGCAGGAGAATTGCCTGAACCCAGGAGGTGGAGGTTGCGGTGAGCCGAGATCACGCCATTGCACTCCAGCCTGGGTAACAAGAGCGAAACTCCGTCTCAAAAAAAAAAAAAAATCTCAGACTAGGCAATTTACAAAAGAAATAGGTTTATTGGACGTACAGTTCCACATGGTTGGGGAGGCCTCACAATCATGTTAGAAGGCAAGGAGGAGCAAGCCACATTTCATGTGGATGGCGGCAGACAAGGAGAGGGTTGCACGGAGAAACTCCTGTTTTTAAAACCATCAGATCTCATGAGACTTATTCACTATTAAAGGGATAACAGAGAAAGGCCTCACCCCCATGATTCAATCATTTTTTACCTGCTCCCTCCCACAACACATGGGAATGTGAAATACAAGATTAGATTTGGGTGGGGATGCAAAGCCAAACCATACCATCTAGTCTCAGGTATTTCTTTATAGTAATGCAAAATGTACTAACACTTCTGCAATGTATTTTGAAGTCAGATAGTGTGATGCCTACCATTTTGTTCTTTTTGTTCAAAATTTATTTGACTATTCGTGTTCTTTTTCAGTTTGATATAAATTTTAGGATTTTTTTTCTATTTTTGTGAAGAATGCATTGAATCTATAGATTACTTTGGGTAGGGATTGCATTGAATCTACAGATTGCTTTGGGTAGTATGATCATTTTAATGATGTTGAGTCTTCTAATCCATAATCATGGGAAATTTTTTTCACTTTTTTTGTGCTTTTATTTCATCAGTGTTTCATAGTTTTCCTTGTAGAGACCATTCACATCTTTAGTTGTTTATTTCTTCATATATTTTCAAGCTTTTATGAATGAGATTCCTTTTCTTAATTTCTATAGCTAATTTTTGAGAGTTTTTAACATGAAATGGTATTGAATTTTATGAAATTTTTTTTTATATCTACTAAGATGATTACATGGGTTTTGGCCTTCATCCTGTTGATGTGATTTATCATATTTATTGATTTACATGTGTTGAAACATCCTTGCAACCATGGGATAAATTCCATTTGGTCCTGGTGTGTTACCTTTTTCATGTTACTGGGTTTGGTTTGTTAGTCATTTGTTGAGGATTTTTACATCTATATTCCTCAGGAACATTGGCCTGTAGTTTTCTTTTTTTTTTAATTTGTGCTTGTCTGGTTTTGGTATTAGGATAATGCTGGCCTCCTAAAATGATTTAGGAAGAATTCTCTCCTTTCTATTTTTGGGAATAATTTGAGAAAGAATTGATATTAGTTCTTCTTTAAACTTTCAGTAGAATTCATCAGTAAAGCCATCCAGTCTTGGACTTTTGCAGGGAGAAGGGAAATTTTTTATTACTGATTCAATCTTGTTATTCATAATTGTTCTTCACACTTTCTACTTTTGCCTGGTTCAATCTTGGTAGGTTATATGTATCCAGGAATTTATTTCCTCTAGGTTTTTGTATTTTTTGGTGTGGTTGTTTATAATACTCTCTAATGATCCTTTGTATGTCTCTGGTATCAGGTTGTAATTCCTCCTTTTTCATTTCTGATTTTATTAATATGTCTCTTCTCTTTTTTTCTCAGTCAAGCTAATGGTTCGTCTATTTTCTTTATATTATCAAAAATCCAATTTTTCATTTTGTTTATCTTTTGTGTTATGTTTTAAATTTCCTGTTTTATTTAGCTCTGCTCTGAACTTATTTCTTTTCTTCTACAAATTTTGGGGATGGCTGCTTCTTGCTTTTCTAATTCCTTGAGGTGCCTTGTTGATTGAAAATGTTTCAATATTTTTGATGTAGTTGTTTATTGCTATAAGCTTTCCTCTTAGGACTGCTTTTGCTATGTCCCATAGGTTTTTGGTATATTGTGTTTTTATTTTCATTTGTTTCAATGCATTCTTTTTTTTTTTTTTTTTTTGAGACAAAGTTTCGCTGCTGTTACCCAGGCTGGAGTGCAATGGCGCGATCTCAGCTCACCACAACCTCCGCCTCCTGGATTCAGGCAATTCTCCTGCCTCAATACCTTTTTAAAATTTTCTTTTTAATTTCTTAATTGACTCAATGGTCATTTAGGATCTTTTTTCTGTTTCTATTATTTGTGCAGTTTCCAAAGTTCCTTTTCTTATTGATTTCTAGTTTTATTTCATTGTGATCTGAGAAGATACTTGATATTATTTCAGTTTCTTATATTTGTTAACATTTGTTTGGTGGCCTAACATGGTTTATCCTGTAGAATGTTCCATGTGCTGATGAGAAGAATGTCTGTTCTCCAGCTGTTGGATGAAGTGTTTTGTAAATGCCAACTAAATTCATTTTGTCTATATTAGACTTTAAGTCTAATGTTTCTTTGTTGCTCTTCTGTCTAGATGATCTGTCAAATGCTGAAAGTGAGCTGTTGAAGTCCCTAATTATTATTGTTTTGGGGTCTAGCTCTGTCTTTAGCTCAAATAATACCTGCTTTACATCTCTGGATGCACGTATTTACAATGTTATAGCCTCTTGCTGAATTACTACCGTTATCATTATATAATGACCTTCTTTGTCTCTTTTAATGTTTTTTTTTTAACCTGACGTCTATTTTATCTGATATAAGTATGGCCACTGCTGGGTAGTTTTGGTTTCTATTACATATTTTTTTCTATTTCTTCACTTTCAGTCTATGTTTGTATTTACAAGTGAAGTGAATTTCTTGTAAGCAGCATATATTTGAATATTGTTTTTCAATTCACTCAGCCAGTCTGTATCTTTTAATTGGAGAATTTAAGCCACTTACATTCCAGGTTGTAACTGATAGATGAGGACTTACTCCTGTCACTTGGTTAACTTGTTTCTAATTATTTGGTATATTTTTTATTCCTTTCTTACTTCCTAATTTTTGTCTTTGTGATTCTCCTTTTGTTTTCAGGTTTAGACCTCCCTTAAGCATTTTTTAGTGGCCAGTCTAATGAATGTTCTCAGTTTTTACTTGTCTAAGAAAGATTTTATCTCTACAAATCTGAAGGATAGATTTGTTGGGTATAGCATTTTATAGTATAGTGTTTTTTCTTTCAGCACTTTTCACAGCCTATAAGGTGAGAAATCTATTAGTCTGATGGAAATCCCCTTATATGTGTCTTAATGTTTTTCTCTCGCTGTTTTTAGAATTTTCTCTTTGTCTTTGACTTTTGACTCTAATATGCCTTAGAAAGGACCTTTCTGGATTTAATCATTTGGGAATTTTTAAGCTTCCTGTATCTGGATGTTTCTATTTTTTTTGTAAGACTCAGAAAGTTTTCTGCTATTGTTTTATTAAATAGGTTTTCTATGTCCTTTTCCACCTCTTCTTTTTCTGAAATTTTAAACATTTGCATATTTGTTTGCTTGATGGTGTTTTTATTTATTTTTTCTTTTTGTCTGTCTGGGTTATTTCAAAAGATCTCTCTTTGAATATAGAAATTCTTTCTACTGCTTAATCTAGTCTATTGTTGAAGCTCTCAGTTGAATTTTTAATTTCATTTATTGAATTATTTAGTTCTTTTAGTGATATCTATCTTTTCATTGAATTTCTTTTAGTGATATCTATCTTTTCATTGTATTTCTCATTCAGGTCATGAATTGTTTTCTTGATTTCTTTGAATTATCTATTTGTGTTCCTGTCATGTTCAACCCCTGTTGATTCCAATAGGGATGGCATCATATCTGAGAGGCCAAAGAAGGGACCCAGAGACAGTGAATGAGACACAGGACTTATTAAGTTGGACTTTATTGATGGTACAGTAGTGATGGGCCTGACAGAAGAATGACTACCATTTGTAAAAATCATGCAGTTTATATAGTATTTTCACCTAGCATTCTTCACCTAGCAACACTCATTTGACCCAAAACAAAGGGCCTTAATTCCCTGTATGTCCTGCATTTTAAAGGATGAGCCAGGGGTTTAGTTGTCATTTATCATGTGAACCCAAAGGTATCTGATAAAAGTACCAATCAATTTAGAAAGTTTATTTTGCCAAGGTTAAGGATGCACTTGTGACACAACCTTCAGGAGGTCCTGACATATGTCCCAGGTGGTTGGAGCACAGCTTGCTTTTATGTATTTTAGAGAGACATAATGCATCAATCAATACATGTAAAATGTACATGGGTTTTTATCTGAAAATGCGGGGCAACTCAAAGCAGGAGCTTCCAGGTCATAGGTAAATTTAAAGATTTTCTGATTGGCAGTTGGTTGAAAGAGTTAAATTATTATCTAAAGAGCTGGAATCAATAGAAAGGAATGTCTGGGTTAAGATAAGGAGTTGTGAGACCAAAGTTTGTCATGCAGATGAAGCCTCCTGGTAGCAGGCTTCAGAGAGAATGGATTGTAAATGTTTCTTGTCAGACTTAAGGTCTGTGTTGATGTTAATGCTGGTCAGCTTTTTCTGAATTACAAAAGGGAGGAGGATATAATGAGCTGTCTGACTCCCAATTCCCATCATGACCTGAACTATTTTTTCAGGTTAACTTTGGAATGCCCTTGGCTGAGAGGAGGGGTAGGTTCAAATGGCTGGGGGCTTAGAATTTTATTTTTGGTTTATAGTCTTCTCCTTCTCCTTCAGGCCAAGATTTGCCAGAGGCAACATTAATGGCCACCATATTTTTATTTTGTTCCATAGTATTGCCAGGGTGGCATAGTTGCTGGCCTCAAGTCCATCTTGTCTTTTGTTGGGATGTTTATGGCCAAGAGACTTAGAGTCAAAAGACTTATAGCCAATTTAAATGTTCCAGGTCAGGCAGGAATGGACATGGACAGCCATTCATTAGCCTTTAAAATTGTTTAAGTAATATAAAAGCCAACAAACAAAAGTCAAAAACAAAGCTACAAAATTGACTTATCTTTAACTTCTATTTGTTGAGTTACTATAACCTTGGTTTTAGTTACAGATTTATAGTAATATAAATATATAAAATAAAAATATATAAAAAAATAAACATAAGCATCATTATGAAAAAATTTTTTAAATATATGTTTATCTGCACAACTCATAACTGGGAGTATTATACCCAGGAGGTATTGTCATTAGGCATCTTTATCCTCTAAGTAATTATTTTGTTGTAATTCTACAGGAAGCAGGAATTTCTTTATAGTTGGGATGGATAAAAATGTGCACATTATAATTCAGGAGGTAAACTCTTATTTTACCAGCTATTTAGGCACCTGTGTCCCCATTATTGATTTGAAGGGTCTTAAGGGTCTGAACTAATTCTATATCTCAAAACCAGCCCTTACAATCTCCATATATATGGTTTGAAAATTCTATTTATTTCTTTCCTTTCTTCCTTTCTTCCTCCCTCCATTACTTATTATATATCCTAAGCATCTATTTTCTACTTCCTTTAAAGGAATCTTTATTCAAATTACCCCTATGTTTGCAATGATGTAGTGAGGAGATTAACATATCCTCTCCTGAAAAAGCAATTATAATGCTAAAAAGAAATGTAAAAAAGTAACCATTTCAGTTCTCTGGAAATAACCTAAGTCTCCAATAAACTGTATAACATTTAGTCTTGACATTTATTCTTGAAAATTACTATATCAGTTTGTTGGCACAGTATTTCAACCAGAGCAGGACAAGCTGTGAAAATCCTCAATTTAGCTGCCACTACTAGAAGGTGTCCCTCTTAATCTGGACTTTAATCATTTAACGTGTCGATCTCATATTCATAAGAGTGAACAGGATGAGCCAGCATCTTTACTAGCCTGAGGTTATAGACCTGATTGGGGACCACGCAATGGACTAGTAAATTTGCCAGAGATTTAACAA